TAGCATAAAACTGACTTTCTGCCACAAATATGCATAATGAGCAGTGCACTAATGCTTTGCATTCCCCAACAGAGGACTGGGATTCTACATGGCCCATATACAAGTGGAGAAAAATGAGTGTGTAGGCTCTAATTAGAGGCCAGGAAGGATCTTGCACCCAAACACTGAAACTTCACAATTTCTTCACCATTTCTTTCACTCCCTAACAATATTAACAACAAATAGTTTTGGGTTTGTGTAGCCCAGTCTCTTCAACTCTCCTTGCCAAAGCACAGGGTGGTACCACATTCTGGGAGAGGCAAATACTGATTTGACTGCGATAAATGTGGGTTTATTCTGTGCTTGAACCCATATGCTGGGGCTTTTGACTGGAGCGTCAATCAAACTTGGGCATTTTATAGAACATTTAACATTTAGGAAGCTCCATATTTTTCATGTTGCTAGGAACTGAACTATATTCATAGTGAAGATAGATCTGATGAAAAAGTGGAACTTTGTCTTGCCCTGTAAGCTTCTTTGTAAAGTTTTCATCATTTTTGTTTCTTGTTGAGATTGAAACACCTTAACAATCAAATCAAAACAAAGTATTTCTCAGGATGTTTCAGCATTTCCATTTCTATTTCCTGTTAAAGTAAGGAAATGCAGAGACAGAATAAATATGGGAAGTCATCAAAAGAAAAGCAAAACCAAAACAAGCAAAAAAAATAATAAATCAACTATATTCTTATGGAACCTTTAAGAGGCGTTTGGTGCCAATTCTGGGTAAAGATGGCTCCAGCCCAAAGCATTACATATGAGCTGCTCTGAATGAGGTTTTCATAAATCAAGATTTGGCTTGGGATCTATATTTCACAGCTGCACTGTGTTATGTGTAGCTTCTGTCATAGGCCAAAACAAGAACCCAAGCTCTGAACAGCCCTTGGCTGGTGGGGGAAGGATGCAAGGTCAGGTGAAGACCTCAGTTTTGTGGCTTCAGTCAGGCTTTGTCAGGAGGTGTCTAATAAAACATGAATATCCACAACGAGTCCCTACTTTATTCTAGCTGATTCACCCATTTCCCTAATAATAATGAAACAGTGAAAAGAAAACTTTCTGAGAAGAAAGTCCTTCATTTACGTTGTTCAGTCATTAATATGGCTGTCTGGAGAAAAAACCTAGAGGACCCCTACAGCCACCAACCCTGTATGACTCCTTAGTAAGAATTAATTCTTTTACGTGAAGACATTGTGTCTGCATATGTCTTACTTTTGCCCAAGTTTTGATTGTTTAAGAATGCAGAGCTGGAGCAAACATACTACATCATACTTGGGTTGTATTTAAGCAGGCCACAATTCCCCACAAGTACAACTCTGCCTAAGATAGCAGCAGTGGAGACCAGTGCAGAAGAGAAGAGGCACAGGCCACAGCTAACATTTATGGGAAAAATTTGCCCTTTAGAAAATGGGATTAGCAATGCAAAGCCCAGAATTAGAGAGACATGTACAAATCCACAATGTTAGTGGCAAGGAAAATCCCTTTCATTCATCTGTGATTCAGAAAATGATTAAGCAGTTTAGAGCAACTGTATGATGCAAGACCAGATCTTAAGCAGTTAAGGTAGCTGGGGGAAGGGAGAAAGAGATAGAAAGGGTTTATTCCCCAGTAGCACCTTGCTGCTGTGTACTTTGGCTAACAGTTTAGTCAGGGAGCTGGAGAGAGGGGACATTTTACAGTAACTGGAACTGTGAGCAACTCCTTTGCCTAGCATTTAATTATGTGAAACTCAACTAGTGTTGGGGTTTGTTGCAAATTTTAAGTAAGCCTGCATTGGTTGAAAGGTTCACTGTGATCTGCTGAGGCTGGCAGATGTTTCTGTGGTTTTGGTGGGAAGCTGTTGAATTTTGGTCTCAACAACATGGAAAGTACATCAAGAGGAGAGTATCAGTGAGGAAGAAAGAAGAGAAAGAAAAGAGGGCTCCCTGTTAACTCCTTACTCATATTAAAGAGATTTACACTGCTTTGCCTCATTTTGCTTTCCAGCTACCAAGTTAGCCCTAATTACTGCATGTTTTGTACGCTCATTGGATTTTTGTATAAGCACTTTGTTCTTCACCACAGTCCATCAGAAAGTCCTATCAGTTAGTACTGTATGGAGAAAAGTCACTTGAGGAGCAATGAAGAAGGAAAAAAAATAGACTGGAAGTCAAAAGACTTCATTTGGTTCCAATTATCTATGATTACCATGACCCCTTGTGCCAATTAAAACATCAGGTAGAGTATCAGCCACACCTGAGCTGGAGGGATATAATGTTCTTAACAATATTTATACCATCATCTGTAGATTGTGTTTAGCCTCTTTAAAGCTGTTTGCCAGGCTGCTCAGTTCAGGATAAACTGTGTAAACTTTAGCTCCATAAAATCCTAGCACTAGGCGATAAATAGACTGAACACTTGGTCACATATATGGTACCTTCAATCCGTTCACATTATGGGCCACGTCTTCTCCTGCATGTTTGCATCTGTAATTGATTGTGGGAGCTATTAATCACAGGTGTGTGTGATAATGTTTAGACATCTCTTTGATTCAAGGATGCTATTAAGGAATTAGACTGCAGTAGGGTAAGAGTTTGTCTCTGTAATTAATTGCTCCTGGGGTTTTTCAATCCATAATCAAGTAGTGGGGCAAAAATCAAATACTGACTTGAAAAAACCAAACAGCTCAATGACAACAACCACCCCAACTCGAGTTATGTGTTCTATTCATAGTCTACATACTGATGACTGAATATATCTGTTTTATATGTACAACTTGTGAAACAGATGCTCAGTGTCTGTTTCAGTTTCTGAGAGCTGCTGCTGGAGCTTGTAAAAGATACGATCAAAAATGGATAAGGTAACTAGAAGGATGCTGCCTCACAGTAGTTAATTAGATCTCCCTCCAAGTTACACTTCAACAAGGACTGAAGAGTGACATTACTAACTACTTGTTTTGGTCCCATTGTGATTAGGATTCTGACAAGATCAGAATTACTCGATCCTATTCAAATTCATCATAAATTTGGACTTACAACCAGAAGGCATCCCTGTAGGCTTGGGAATTTCTCATTTTGTAAGAGCTGGTATTAAGTACATTTGGGCTGAATCCGTTTTTTGGTAGAAAGCTTTGGGAGGAAAATGACAGAAGAAAACATTTTTGAGTCTTTGGGAGTGACTTTGCCTCTGGAGTTAGTCTCTAGGAACAGGCTGGGAGATGCTTTAGTTGTAAATGAGAGGTAAAACAAAACTCTTCTCCAGGTGCACTTGGTTGTTTAAAGGTCTTCTGATGTTTGACGTGTGAAAGTATTAAATGCATTAATCCAAGATGATTCTAATTCAGGCAATTACTTTTCACTTACCCCGAACTCCTCCCAGCAATTTAAAGTGACTTTTCAGACTGGAAATTCTTTGGGGAAGGAGCTTGCAGCAATACCAGGAACAAATTTAATATTAGTTTTCTCACGTCCTGTGCTGATTCTTATACAATATTGCTGTCATTAACAAACTATTACCTTCCATCCCAGAAACAGATGCATCCCAGTCCAAGATGAAATAATTGAGGTGGTTTTTTGCAGAGTTCATTGAAATCAAATCGTAACATGTAGTAAGTTGTTGTTGTTCTTATTATGCGAAATAATCTTGTATTTTGAATACCTTCCTTTTCCCTCTGGAGACATTGCCATCAAGGTGGCTGTACCTGCTTCCAGCACCAGATTAAGAACAATGGAGAAAATGGAACAAAACAGAGGTTTTCAAATTCCATTCTGATGTCTAGCTGCCAAAGGAGCCTGCCGTGCTCAATTCAAGGGCTAATCCATGACCATCATTCTACTTCAATAATTACAGAACATTAATGAGTCTGTTTCCTTATTACAGAGCTCAAAATAAGAACATTGGCATTCCGATTTAGCAGGGAACTTTTAAAGTCTTAGCCCAAGGATTGTAAGAGGAATTGATTTATTTTTTTTTTAATTAACTTTGCATTCAAAACTTGTCTTAAACCATCTGTTCTCATGCAAAGGCTGAGGGAGGGGGAAGCTAGCCACAGATTTTCATCAGCGAGCTGTTAAATTAGTCTCTTTACTTCACAGGGCTTGTTTTATTCAATCTGCCTTTATTAAGAACACAGGTTTGATTCTGCAAGGAACAAATTCTTCTGGTTCTTTAAGGAAAATGGTTTTAAGCAGGGTTTTATTAGGTTGCGTTACTGGATAAGCGATACAACATGTTACCAGCGTGAATCATCTGATTTACAGTGACAAGAAAGGAACTTAAAAAAAATACCCAAAGCCAAAACATCGGCTGGCAAGGGCTAACAGGGCCAGATTTGATCTACTTTTTCAAAATTTTTCTGTTACAATTGGTAGTAACTGTCTAGGGCTTTTAGATATTTTGACTAAGTCTTTTTACCATCCTTAAATTAAGAAGCAGAGAAACTGGGGCCAGACTGTAAGTATTCTAACCAGCCTGAATAGTCACAGTGAAGTCAGCAGGGCTGCTGATGAAATGAAGCATGATCTGGGAGGAGGTCTAGCACTATTTCATCCTAAGAGGAGACATGTATAGGTCATCTTGCCTTCACAGCCAGGACTGTGGCTTACAGTATACTTGTTTTCTTTCACTGGCTTAGTCCTGCTACCACAGCTTTTGTGAGCCCCCCTGTGCTTGTCTGTGAGCAAACAGGCCTTTACAAATCTCTGCTTTTAAATGACGCAGGCTTCAGTCATAGCAGGTGAGCATAATGTAACTGAGAGTCATGACTCAAAATCCTCAGCCTGTTTCCATCATCTGCATTCAAATCCTTTTTGCTGGCTACACTCAAGTGTTCTGAAGAGTGATCTGGCAGGTAACTGGGAAAAGGCACAAAGAATATTGATAGAAACAGAAATGTGATTTCTTAATTAGAAGTAATAGGAGAAACCTGACCCTGATATATTCAGCTACCATGAAGTCAAAGTGCATATTCTCTCTGGCAGCTGAGAGCACCTCTTGCACTGAAGACTGAGTGAAAGTGGTATGTGAAGATCTGCAGGCTCAAAGATATCTCAGGTAACCCCAAAAGGGAAACTGAATATTTTCACCAAAAACGTTATAACAAAATAAAATAGTTTCACTTGCCAAAGTTGATAGCTTTCAGTCCAAGGATATGTCTCTCATGTTAACAGATCTTTATCAGTATTTGTGTCTAACCTAAAATTAGCTCCTTTCCTATATAGAGGTCCTGAGGCCAAAATGAGCTATTAAACATGAAGTAAATTTATAAAAGAAGTTCTGAAATGGATGGCTAGAATTTCTAAACCAAAATTTCCACCCCTCCACATTTTTAGGACGTTGCAAACTTCCCTGATGAATTTTCAGGTTGTACTCTAGACTATGTCGAAAACCCCATCCCATAGTAAACACCTAATTTGAGTGTTCCAGTAGTTTGAGTCTTCTGACTGAACTGAGCTATGAAAGCAGAAAGAAGATGGTTCCCTGGAAATCAGTGTATAGTCCTAGAGCTGTCTTGCCTTACCTGTCCCAGCTAAGTCTCACTGCCAAGAGCTGGTACTACAGCTGTTCTAGCTGTAAAGAAAACTTTGTAAATTCATTGTCCCTCCTTTAACTACAATGAGAATAATAAAAGGAGAAACAAGATTTGCAGCATCCCTTTGAGATGCAATGATGAATGCTCTTACCAGTAACAAGTGTCACTTGTTTAATCCTCTCATAACCTATTCCCATTTTGAGAATACATATCATGGTCAACCTAAGGACTGAGAAATTATCACTGAAATTATGCTGGAAGTTGTCTGGGGAGGGGGAAAGTCTCAGTATCCTCTCCTAAGTATTTTGAAAACTCACTGAATACATTAAATCCAACATAGTACTTTCTAAATACCTAATTTTGCATTCCTGTAGAGAAAAAAGCATCCTTAGAGTGAGCTTTTCATACTGATTTACATGCAGAAGATGACATATATATATTCATATTTCAGACTTCATAAAAGGAAAAAGAAAAAGAAAGGGGAAAAATACTACAGAGATCCCTCTTGGCCCTTCAGAGAGCTTGGAAATTAAGTTTGAGCTCAGGAAATCTGTTTTCTTACCATACAGTGAATGATTGCTCTCAGTTTCATGACTAACCATCTAGTTTTGCTTTCTGGTGGGTGCTTAGTCATTTGGGATGCTTGAGTCTTCTACATCCTTTCCCTCAAAGGGAACAGAAGAAGAGTCACGTTACTGCATGCTGCAGTCTGTCTGTGCCAGCAGGCCAGGAGTGGCTTGGGAATGACAGTCTTGCCTTGTTGCTATTATTAAAGGAACGATGACTACTAAGTCTGAGAAGTCCTGGACATTTGACCACACTCGGGAATGAATCTCCACCAATTTTCTTCAGAGCGTGTTGACCCTTTTGGCATAAAGGAAAATCCTTAGTGCAGCAGAACTGAGCATCTTTAGTACGAAATAACAGGTTTGACTGGAATGTTTATTTTGATAGCTATGGGATTTCAGGGAATTTGGTGAGGTAAGAATCCTGTATAAGACCACAAATCTATTCAAAATGCTGCTCCATTAGCCTCTTTCTCTGCCCTATCCACATCCAATGCAATCTCCTCGTTACAATATGTAATGAAAGCTATGAAACCCCTGATTTTTTTTTAAACATCTATTTGCATGGAATTTGAACCTTGCTACAAATAAACCATAAAAATGACATTAATAAACACCGGAAAGCAGTAATGATGTGTTATTGCCATAGGAGGGCCAGTTAAACAAGTTAAAGGCTGACACAGTTTTCCAGATGCAGTGTTGCACAATGTGCTTGTTTACCTGGTTCATTTACTCTTTCCCTTTCCCTCCTTAGACACACACATGGGGGTACCAAGGGCGAACACTGAAGTGGACTCAGAAATGACAGATATAAGTTACGATCTCCCTCCCCTACAGTTTTATCTGTAAGATCATGTCTTTTACTTGTAAAACCTTTGCCAACCACAAAAATTTGTCGTCTTTTGTCAAATAACTTCTGATGTTTGAAAATCAGGATACTTGTATCTAACCTCAAGTTCTACTCCCCTTTGTTTATCTTCTTTATGCATATATATTCAGTTTATTTCTCCATTCCAGGCCTTATTCCTGTACCTTTCCCATGAATTATGAGAGTTGAAAACAAGTTTTTCTCTCCTTGAGTTAACCAATCTATCCAGAACTCTTCTGGGTTTTGTCCCCCTGAGTCATTTTAGCCCTTTAAATTTTACCTTGGAAGCTTTGTTTTCTCTTTATTTTATGGTGATGACTTCTTCTCTTTACTTGCGTAATACAGTCCAATGCTGTAGGTTAGAAAGGTCCTTAGAAATGCAGCTGGAATTAGGTATAAAGTTTAGGATGCCTGAAGAGGACAATAGCATGTCTAGGATTTATGTCTGATTGAGCTGATAATTCTCATTAATATCAGCTCTTACTGTGCTCTGAAATCAGCTACTCAGAGAGTATTCTGTTGCTATGCTTGCAATTTGCTCTGTGTTTAGAAAACAGATCCTACAAGGTCCTAAAATCACACAGATGGGTTTAAACTAAATTAATGTTCAACCTATTTTTCACAAATCTAAAATCTACATCCTTTTTTAGAAAAACTTTTCATCCAACTAGTGTGGAAGTGACAAAAAAACTAAAGGAATACTCCAGGAGTGAAGAAGTTGCCTTGGCTCATTGGCAATGGATTTACCCTGGCAATCACATCACACATTTATAACAAGCCAATTCCTTGAAGAACCTCAGGTTCAGATCCATCCATACTTTCATACCTTGCCAGTTTCAATGAAATGAGGATAATTTAGAAAAGTATAATTATATTTTAACAGATCAAAGATGCACATATTAAGTTGAACTAATTGCAGTGAGGAATTTTGACCTATTTTCTTTGAAGTCTTACAAAAAATAAATCAGGTGTGCCAGTTCCATTTGTACAGGGAAAGTTCAAGATTCCAGACAATACTATTGCTGTCAAGTTGTGATTTTGTTATAGCCACCAAATAAATTAATTTTTGTTCTAGGATCAGGCAATTATTCATACAGAGAATAGAAGTCCAGTTAATGAACGTCTCCTGCTTCTGTTCTGATTATTACCTGAATCCAAGAATTCCTTTCTGCTAGTTGCAGTCTTGCTTCATGTTTTCTCCTAATGAAATCTGAAGCTTTTCGGGTGGATATAGATCAGCATCCCTGCACAGATTTATTTACTTGCTTATTGGTTAATATCCCAGAATGCTTCCCTCCAAAAAAATAGTGTTTAAGTATATACTGTAGCTTACAGGATGCACCCAGTACCTGCGTGACAGATTATCAGCCATCTCTTTATGGACTGAAATGCAAATGTGCTGAAAAGTGTGAGTGATCCTCTGCCTGGTGGCTCCCACCAAGGGCAGTCAAAAAATGGGCAGGAAGCTTGGAGGGGAAGAAGATCAACAAAAGATATCAGTGTCTGCAGCATGGCATGTGTGGATTTGAAAGGAGAATTTATTAATCTGAGCTAAATTCCCCACTGTCTTAGATGGTAGTCATTGAATATGGGAATAATGCTAATGCTGTTCTGTTTCTGAGTCCACCTTCTCTGTGCTGTTATACCACCTGTCTTTGGAGTTGTCTTTCATCTCCTTACCAGTTCTTTCTCCTTAATCTTAGGAGCAAAAATCAGTTTTCAGCCCAGAAACTGCCCCCTTTGTATTGAGGCAGTGTAGAAACAGGAAAGGAGAGTAGGCAGTTTCAGATGCAGTGACCTGTCTTGGTTATTCTTGGCCAGTATCACCACAGTGGCTTCATTCTTTGGCATCACAGATACAGAGAAAGGCAGAGACATGCACGGCCTGAATCTTATCTCCCAGTTATACCAGGAGAGCATTTACCTTTAATCATGAGCACAAACCATTAATGTTGTAGGACTACAGATTGTGATCCAGTTACAGAAGAAGGCTGTATCACCCTCTCTGTTTCTACTCGGTCAAAAAGCCCACGAACCTTGCTACTCCCATTTCCTTCTTTGCCTTTCTTGTCTCCGTTCCCTTAGGGTCCTAGCTTCTACTGACTGACCTTTACAAATGCAACAACAATAATTATCCTATAATTAGACACTCTAAGTCACGTTGTTGCTAAAGCTGTCAGTATGGGAAGGAAGCAAGCAGTGCTTAAGGTAAGGGTTTAGGGCTCGTTCTTTGCTGTATCACCAGAGGTATTTGTGCCAAGTCCTTGGCATTTCATTAGGTGGTTGTTGGGGTTCCCTTCTAATTGCGTTTCATAAGTTAGTGATTGCTGTTCATGATTCAGTGGTTGTCTGTCTCTAGACCACATAGATAGAGAGTAAAGGACATTCAGAATTTCAGCAGATTTCAAGTTCCTGCTGCCATTATAGCCATTGACAAATTAAACCACCCAAGCTCATCAGGCTATCTACCTGGCATTCGAGGTGCACCTCAGTCTTCTGGTTTTCATCCCAGAGCCTGGAATGTGTAGGTTTAATTCTGGCAGGTGGCAAATATGTACTGCTTGTGTAAAATCCAAATACCTGGCAAATCCTTCTTGGTATTAGTAATACCTCTGAAACCATAATTTTCATTGTCCCATCAAAATGGGTGAGACATTGAGACATTCTTGTAGAAGTGTCCTAGCTATGACAAGGTTTGGAAGCACAGCCCTGGATTAAAGACATAAAGCTCCTCTTATCACCCTTCGTGACATGGGCATTCCATATAAATTTCTTAGCAAGGCATTGAATATAAATACAAAGAAATATGCGAGTTCCTTATAGTTGGGATTAGCAGAATTTTAATTTTCCTTTTTTTTCCTTATCCTTAGTGTATTCTGTGGTCAGTTGTTGCCATGTAACAAATCCCTTAAAAACCTCTCTGACTTGGGATGTGTAGCAGGACTTCTCTGCTCACTCACACTGTGGCTGTTTCTTCTTCCTCTATTTGCCTTGTAAAAAAAGGTGTTCCTTTTTGACCCCAGTTTAATTTTCCCTGGGCATAGTACATCAAGCAGTGCCTGCAGAAATACATAGGATGGAATATCTG